ACGTGCCATTTTGCACTGCTGTCATGATTTCCTTTCTCTCCCATTTCCCGAGGGTTTAACAGCTTGGATGGGAGCCTTGACACAAATATCTTTGCTTCTCAGAAAGATCCACAGTGCAGCAGTGGGAAATAAACCTGTGCATGAGTTGCACTGGAGCCTTATTTCTGCAGCATCTTTTGAAGTTGTCTGAAGGGATGCTTATTGTAACTGCTCCTTTGTAGCATCCTCCACGGAGTAGCTTCCATAGAGTAGGAAGTACCACGGGTGTGTGGTGAGCAGGAGATGTGCAGAGGGATGGACAGAAGAGGCTGTGGGTGTAATTTTCATAGTGGCAGTGATACCCTGGTGTATCGCTCCCTCCTCTCTCTGAGTGAATCCTGCCCATCCTTCCTATGCCTTTCTCTCCTTGCCCTCAATCGATTTGGAATGGCACCTCCTAAATCTTACCACGGAGCTGTTGGATGTTTCATTCAGGGCARTGAGGTGGAAGAGGGCACAGCTAAACCAGGATTCCTCCCTGGTGCCCCTTAGAGCAGACAGAGGAATGCATGCCCAGTGATTCCTCTTTTGGGATGACAAAGCAGGGCTCATTGAACCCCTTTCCCAGAGGCAGTGAGACTGCATTTGGGGTCCAGCTGTGAGCTGGCAGGAGGGTGAAGGCCAGCTTGTCCTAAGAAATGTCCTGTGGGTCTGCTCTGCCTGCCCCATACCTTGAACACCTCACCATCAGCCCTTCTGCAAGTGGGGACAGGTCCCAGTGGAGCTCATGGTGCCCCTGCACTCCCAGAGAAAAGGCAAGCCCACGAGCTGGGAGCTGATTACTCCTTTGCCCTTTGGTACTTGAGGATTACACCACTAAAAGCACACCCATGGYAGCCAGGATGGTCAGTCCTCCATGAACAGATCAATCAGTGGGAAGTGGGAGAGGCAAATGCTGCTGAAATAATCTGTGGGTTGCACGTAYGGGAGAGCCCACCTGTATGTTATTTGTGTAGTGATAGTTCCATGTGTTTGGTATATGAAAGCTCACTTTATTCAAACACATTTTTTTCTATTCTAGCAACAAAACACTAAAAATATGGTAAAGCCTTTGTGTATGGCTRAAACTAAGGAGACCAAAATTTGTAAGATGGAAGATGATTTGTAAGTGGTTGTATTGGTGACATCAAGCAACAAGTTTTGGCAAAACTTTGAAGTCCATATCCAACCACAGTTTTGTCCCCAAGCAGCTCCATTAAGTCAATATTGCTGATTTTCTGTTTGTTACCGTTTATGCTCAAGGGAAGCCCTGTTTTTCCAGGAGATACTGAGGCAGGCATCCCACAGACAGAGCTCTTTTTGCAGTGTGAGTTTGAGCTCAGAGCAGACACGAGGCACGAGCAGGCAGAGCACAGGGAGAGCTCTGCTGCAGCCCCACAGAAAGCAGCCCTGAGAAAAGTCTGCTGCACAGCCATCAGCAGGAGATAACAGAAATAAGCTGGACTTATCACTGCCCTTTCAAGGCATTTGTGTATAGCTAAGATACCRTTTCCTGTACAGTCACACACATCAGTGCACAGTGCCATGAACTTGGCTCTTATCAGCACCCCATGGGAAAGCTCGGGTTATTTACAGTAGGACTTGTTTCAGTTTTGMAGGCTTTTTTTCAGTTAAACAGCAAATTAAATATAAAATGGATAAGTAGGGAAAGTGAAATTGATTCTCCAAGACTGAGATATGGTAGGCAGAGGAAGGCTAAGGCACTTCCTCTAGATTCTGTTACCCTCTTTTATGTATATTAGGTACATTAAATTATTTTAAAAACTGGGTAACTGAATAATTTGTGTAGTGAAGCAGCAATTTTAAAAGACCCAAAAAACTTCCCAAACCCCACACACTTCAGGTTGATTTTTATTAAAGGAGGAGTAAACCTATCACTGTTAATACCAATACTGAAAATTTACTTTTGTTTCAGTCCCTTCCGTGTGGATTTAGGATTTGTGCTGTGTAYGCTATGTACGTACATAAAAAAGGAGTCCAGGAACTACAAAACACWTTTGGACTACTTCAGTCTGTCTCTTGATCTCGGATCTTCAGAGTTTCCTCATTTGAGTCTTGGGGACTTGGATCTTTTTCGCTCTGCCTGTTATTGACCTGGGTAATAGGTGTTTAGTCTAACGAGTGTTTAGCAGCTCTTCATTGCCTCCCAAATGAAACTGAAAATAGCTTTTTAGGGAGCAGGACTGCACTGTACCTGGCAGCCAGCTACTGCCAGGCAGCAGGCTGTGGGCAGGATCAGGAAATAATTTTAAGTATGTATATATGTTTTTATATATATGTTAATTTTTTTTTCCTGTAGTGATGACATGCTCAAGAAGCGGTGTACTGGAAGTACAGAAAGTTAAACTTCCACATAGGAAAGGTGAGGGAGGGGAAAATCCACCCCAAAAACATAAACCTGGGTCAAGGGCTGCACCTGATCATTCTTGTCTCCTTCCCCTCACACACTGGGGCCCTGCCAGCGGAGTGACCTCGAGCCCAGCAACTTCTATTTACACATCCCAGGCAAATACAGGATTCAGKGTGGAAAACAATATTTGACTGTGCTTTAAACAAACCAGCCAAGCCTACAGGCATTTCTCGAAGGTGTCTGGTGATAGATGAGCTCTTCTTTCTCTCATCTCAAAATTTCCTCTGCCTCCAGCCCTGTCACCTTTTAAAGCAGCAGTGGAGGGATTTTATTATGTTTTATACTTTCATCTTCAGCAGTGATCTGTCTCTCTTTCCATGGGTCCCCACAGCATGCTGATCCCTCAAGTCTCTTACACAGCAGAATTTTCATCCTAATTTTTCCATTTCTCGGTGTTAAATGGGTTTGCCAGGGGAACAGGGGGTCATTTCCCGTCCCTGCTGGATCATTAATTCCCAATGAAAACACCGCAATCTCACACTTCCCGAGCAAACAGAAACATCGGGATGTGCCAGTGTCATCTGCACAACACTTGCTGCAAGAGCARAGATGCTGCTGTGCACTGCAGAGGCCAAGGGTTTGAAATGGTCATTGAAAAACAGGGAGGGAGAGATTATAGAGGAGCAGCAGAAAATCGCTTTTTAATTCCTTAACACAAATGATGATGTCTATTTTTTTTCAGTCTAATCTGCTGAGCTGTCTCCTCATTGTCTTTATTTTTAGAAACAATTGCTCTTCTTTTTTTGAAAACAACACTGGCCTAATGGTTTTCTTACTGATACTTGCCACTTTATGAATAAGGAATTTGATTTTTGCTCCTGTTTTCAGTGCTTGGGCATTTCTGCCTTCCTGTAATTTGTCTCAGCCAGCTCTGGAAAAAAGGAAACAAATAAAAATCCCAACCCTATATTTGTGAATCTTCTGTGTAGAACATTTCACAAAATGGGAAGAATCCAGAATTACTCTCYTTAAGCCAGCAGCAGGAGGGGAAAATAAATGACTCATCTGTTTACTTTTAAAAATCCTTTTAAAGAACTCAAATGTGCCTGATAAATTATTAGTATTTCATCCAACCAGCTTCTGCTGTCAACTCTTGGCATTTCTGTAGGTAGTCCTGTGCTSACGGTAGTATCTCACTGCCAAATCCAAGGCTTTACAGGTCTCAGGAGATATTTAGGAGATTTCCCACTTCTTTGCCTYGGACATTCTTTAAGCCTGTTTGTGGGGTTTTGGTTTTTCCCTTTGTCCTTGGCCTYTTTGCAGGTTTGTTGGTCTTACAAAGGCCTATGCCAGCAAATCATTTCTATAAGCACCAGCACTAAGGCATTCTTTCCATACCCCTAAACACAGACACATCCCCAAGCTGGGATCCTCCACCAGTTTCATTTTCAGAGTGATGCTGCCCTCCCTCCCATCCCAGTGCCCGTGAGCCCGCAGGACATGGGGAGGTGCTTTGGCCTGGGGAGCTGGGCAGGGGTGATGGCACACCATTTGCTCACAGGGAGCAGGATTCAGCCGTGTGCAGGTGAAAAATGCACATTTGGGGTGCGCCAGTGCTTTCCATGGTAACAGAGTGAAACTGGACAAGTTTCCATGGTGATTATTACYACGGCAAAATTCTCTGCACACTTCAGAAGAGGCMTGGGCAGCACCAGGTGAAGAGCCAGGCATCAGCCAAAATCTGCTGGCAGCAGCTCACAGGGCAGAAATTACTTATCCTTCTAAATAAATGGATGTGCAGTGCCGTTGATTTGTTGTGGTTTTGGTTTTTTTTCACAAGGGGAGGCAAGTGTTGATCTTCAAGGGAAGCAGGCTGCATATTTCACACAATCATGAACAGAAACCATCCCTGCCCGTTTTTTAATTGCCATTTGCTTGGTTGAAAGAAACAGTTGTTTTCTATTTTTTTTTTTTTTTTGTTTAAGTCTTTAGTGAATCAGGTGTCTGGTTCACATTACCATCTCTCTCTAGCTCTATGACCGGTGAACACTGGGATTTGGATTGGTTTTGCTTTGCTGTTGCCTGGCCATGCTCCTTTCTGATCCTGCACACATCAGTTTCAGGATGAAAAAAGGCCAAGTATTCAAGGGGAATCAAGTRTTCTTCACCAGTGGTTGAATATTTTTTGGCTGCAATATTTTTAGAAATGTTTGTTTTGGGGTTTCTGTTGAGTGAAACCAATATGCTGTCACTCAGCTCTGATGTGCATTGTCATTATGTGAAGCTTTATTTAAAAATGCAGAATGGGCATCCTGAGTCCTTCTTTCAGGCTGTGTACTGAGAGGGTTTTTTGGCTGTGGGCAGTCCTTAAGGCTGCTCAAATTATCTGTGTTTATGGCTAAATATAAGTTCTTCAAAACTCTTTGTACAACACTTTGGGCTGTATGTATTTTGAGCATCTCTGTGTATACACTGTATTGTGGAGCCGTTAGCTTGAAGTGTGGAAACGTTTAATGGCTTTTCTTTGGTGATGGGTTCTTTAAAGGCAGTTGCAAATATTATTTTAGGAAAGAGATTTATATGGTGCCTAAGATATGTTTGTGGTTTGCAGGCCAAATTATGTGGGTGCTGATGCTCGTGGCAGCGTGGAGCGGCCGTGGGTCCCAGTGACAGCGATGTAGAGGTGCTGCTGGCGGAGCCCAAGGAGCSCTGGAAGAGCTGTGCGACATGGAAGAGCTGTACAAGGATGCCCCAAACCTGCCCATGGATGTCACCAACTCGCCCTCGGCGATGGCCAACAACAAGCTGGAAAATGGGGTGGCCCAGCTGATCACGGCAGAGGCCTGGAACATCAACTCGGCCGACCTGATGAAAAAAGCSCTTTCGCCACTGGTGACGGTCCCCGCGCCCTCCATGCTGACGCCACCGGCCGAGTCGCAGAGCGGGGTGGCGCTGAAGGTGGCGGCCACCGTTCTGCAGCCCATCTGCCTGGGGGACAGCCCGGTGGTGCTGCCCATCCACCTGCAGCTGGCCGGCAGCGCTGCCCCGCAGGTGGCGGCCACCAACAGTGCCACCACCCCCTATGTGATGACCACGCAGGGCCCGGTGCCGCTGCCCGTGCTCCTGGAGCAGCAYGTCTTCCAGCACCTCAACTCGCCGCTGGTGCTGCCCCCGGGCACCGCCTGCCCCGCCAGCGCCCTGCACGCCGGGCTGTTCCCCGGCACCGCCGCCCCGGCCGGGCAGCCGCAGCTCCTGGACCCCGCCAAGCCCTCGGGCCCAGCGCAGGAGCCCGTCCTGCCCCCGGTGTTTCCGAGCCCGGGCTTCGCCGCCGTCCTTCAGGACCTGTTCCCGTCSCAGGGCGCGCTGGGCTCGGCCCCGTGCCCGCCACCCCCGGAATACGCCACCGTCCCTCCGCAGCCCTTCAGCTCGCCGCTGTCCCCGCTGGTGCCCCCGGCCACGCTGCTGGTGCCCTACCCGGTGATCGTGCCGCTGCCCGTGCCCATCCCCATCCCCATCCCCGTSCCCATCCCCGTCCCGCACGGCGCCGAGCCCAAGGCGGCCCCTGACCCGCCCAAGCCCACGCTCTTCACCCCGCAGCCCTGCAAGGGCACCCAGACACCGCTGGACAAGGAGGAGACCAAGCCCCTGGAGCTGCTGCAGGCGCGGCAGTTCCCGCAGCTCAGCCGCCACACCGTGATCAAGATGGGCGGGGAGAAYGAGGCCCTGGACCTGTCCATGAAGGGACCGCCCGCCCCTCGGGCCAGCGAGGCGGCTCCTCCGGCTGAGGAGGGGGCTCTGGACTTGTCCCTGGGCTGCTGCCGCAAGCCGGGGATGGTGCACGGAGAGGCGGCCGGGTCTGGTCCCACCATTGCCGGCGAGAGCGGTGCTCACCCTCACCCCGGGCCGGACAAGCTCCCCGGGCCGGACAAGCTCCCCGCGCCGGACAAGCTCCCCGGGCCGGACAAGCTCCCCGCGCCGGCCGCTCCTTTCTGCAGAGCCCCGGAGGCGGCGGGCACGGCCGAGCTGCTGCGGCAGCCGCACAAGTGGCTGCTGGAACCGGGCCGGGCCGGCTGCGAGCCCAAAGCCGCCAACAACATCGAGATCGTCAGCACCTCGCAGACCGCCAAAGTCATCGTSTCCGTCAAGGATGCCGTGCCCACCATCTTCTGCGGCAAGATCAAGGGCCTGTCGGGGGTCTCCACCAAAAACTTTTCCTTCAAAAGGGACCTGCCCCAGGACTCGGTGCTGCAGTGCTACGATGTGAAGAGCCCGCCCGAGCCCCGGGACAGCGCCGAGACCCTCAGGAAACCCGTCAAAAACAGGAGCGTAAAGCTAAAGAAAATGAACTCGCCGGAGATACATATTCTTCCAATCAAGAAGCAACGGCTGGCTGCCTTTTTTCCAAGAAAGTAAATTATGGGTTTTTAGAATTTTAAGATTATTATGAGAAGAAGAAAAAATAATAAAAAAGATGCACTTGGTTTTAAACTCATTTAAAACTTTAAACTATCTTTGTAAGTTATTTTTGGGGGAAGAGGGAGAGGATCAGATGTAGAGTCCCTATAAGCTGGGTTGGTTTGGTTTTTTTTTGGTTTTTTTTGGGTTTTTTTTTCGTTATCAAATTTTGACTTTTCATGGGAAACTGAATAAAAAGCAACCTATTTTTCAAGCAGATTGCACATTTTGCAGCTTTAATGGAGTAATGGATGAGTCAGAGGGGTAAGAGCTATTTTCACTGCCATAAAGTGCTTTGATGATGTAACTCTTCRTAACAGTCGGAATGGAAATTTCAAAATAAATGTTTGTACGTGCTAATTGGTTGCGGCATTCTTTTCTCATTTCCGAATTTTTTCAGTCTACAGAGAAGGTCATGCAAAAAATCTGTWAACCTAAAGCGCCGCAACTGACTTGTGATGGACCTAAAATGTTTAAGAAAAATAGCAGGCTAAGAAACACTAACTTTTCCCGCAGCACAGTGGAAGAGAATGTGCCAGCAGCTGCTGCTGAGGCACCAAAGGAGCTGCGGGAGGAGTGAGAGCTCAGCTAAGGTGGAACCATCTCAGATAATGTTATCCATCATCTAAAAGAGAAAACCCTACAAGGCAGGGGAGTTCCATTGCCGGGGGCAGGAGGGGAGGAAGAATCACGTAAGTTTTCCCAGCCTGACTACAGCTGAATGGGAAAGTTGTTCATTGTTAGTTTTCTAAGTCTCTTTGATGGCTGAAATCAATGCGTATAAAAGAGCAGAGCTGTGTAACTTYTGTCACTCAGCAGTGTACAAATCACCCACATGAATGGAGAAATGTGAATGTACAATKAAAATAAAAGTTCTGCTAGGTTATGGTTTTGCACTTGTCTATGGAAATGAGCTGGAGGTGCACCATTGTCTGTTGGCTGCAAAGTTCACCGAGGAAAAACAGATCCTGACAGAAGGAGAAATGTGAGAGGAGGAGGGCAATTTTTGGTGGGCACTGCCTTTTTTGTGGCTATAACTGTAGAAAACTTGTGTTGCAATTTCAAATTACACGTTCCTGGTAGTGCACAAGGACTGTCTTAAGTAAAAAAAGCCATTGTAAAGCCATCAGCCAGATGCCATCACATGCTAACTGTGCCTGCCTGKGCCAAGCTGCAGCCAGCCTACTTCCAGGACTCCTCTTGGACAGCTTTGGGAAKGTTTTTGCAGTTGTTCATACAATGAGAAGATGCTCAAAGGAGCAGCTTCAGCATCTCAAGTCTAATGACACCCATAGGCATCAGTAGCACACCAAAATGTGAAAGTTTTGGTAACAGCAGACACCACCTCACGATTGGAAAATGAATCTGCACTAGGAGGTTAGGGAAGGGCATGTTGTTTCTCTTTTACTCAGCTGAAGGATCACTGCCTTCTTTCTTAATACAAAAAATGGAAGACTTTCACATAAACATAGCATCGGTTCTGTCAAACTCTTGCTTTTTAAGTATTTTTAAAGCCTTTTATTTTTCCCTGGGGTGGCAGAACTGACAGTGTTCCTAAAAGTGTAATGTGTTGATGGATTCATTAATGTTTAGTCATCTGACTGTATTTTTTAAAAATATCTTTTTTCTTAATTGAAAATACTCTGCTGCTTTGTTTTTCTCYTTCCAAGAAACTGCTGATGAAAAATGTCATTGCAGTGCAGAGGCTTTCAGAGGATTTCAGTGTCCCTTGGGATGGCCATCCCAGTTGTCACTGCCCCCTCTATTTCAGCCTGCCCATTCTAGAGTGTCAACCTTCTGAAAATGTGCATTTTCCCCAGGGCTATACTACAGTATACTAGGTCACAGCATTAGCTGTTGTCATTTTTACTTTGCAGTTGACAGAAGCAAGTTCAAGAAGTTTTGGGTTTTTTTTTTTTAAAAAAGGTGTTTCACAGTGGTGCTTGCATCTGCTGCAGCAACTGGCCCAGTTCTTCCCATCCCGGTGTGAGCCATTCCCCACAGCAGCTGGAGGGGCATCCAGTGCTGCTGGGCACAGGGGACAGGCAGAGCTGTGCCCATCGGTGTCACTGTCACACTGTCACTGTCACACTGTCACTGTCACACTGTCACTGTCACACTGCCACTGTCACACTGTCACTGCCTGCAGGTGCTCAGCTTTTCTCTCCTTCCTTTCACAGGTGTTTACTGGAGGGTCCCTCCCAGCCAACTCTGCACGCAGGGTCTGCTTTAACTGAATTCAGGCCACAGCTCCAGAAACCCTGACAACAAATKAGGCTAAATCAACTTTATGACATTATAAACCCCCACAACCACTGTCAAAACACCCAGGACAACAAATGGAGTTTAAAGCCACCTGGTACTGGTAGTAACAGCAAGGCAGAGCAGCAGCATGTGGCTGSTTCTTGCCCCAGTCCCTTGGCAGAGGAGCTGCAAGCTCTGTGCAGAGCTGAGGAGAACCAGAACAGGCTGCAATGATCCTAACATCCCTCTGTGCCACACCCGGACRGGGCCGTTTCCAGAATCTCCCTGGCACTGCAGGCTGCCACCAGCATCCCCGAGCCTGTGCCCGTGTGCTGGAGCCACTCCTGTACAAACAGATAAACAGAGCAGACCGGCATCATTCCCTCCTGGCTAAGCCTGGCTAAGCCTGGCTTTGCCATTGCCTAACCCACAGGGGCAGGGGGATGTTCTCAACAGCTTCTTCCCAGGAAGGCTTAGGGCAGCTCCCATCCCTTACCCCACACAGCAGCACCTCTGCTGCTCCCAGCTCTGGTGGAAATGATGCTGAGCAGGGACCATTTGCCTCCCACCATCCCTGGTGTGTGCAGCCCAAATCCTACATCCCATCAGCACGGGGGAGAAGCAGCCATAGAACAGRGTACTTCATTACACCAAGATTGAGCACTTTCACCTCCTCCTCCTCCTCGCCTCTAGCAGCAATTACGGGTTTTGTATATTGGGCCATTAATTTTCTACAGGGCTACATTTTAACTGCTTCTGAAACTTCTGTATGAGGAGAAGGACGCAAAACTGCACTCGTGATATATGGAGCTTCCATTTCTGGTGGCTGYTAATGGAGACATTAATACTTCTACTGAAGTTGAGAGGAAAGTCATTAAGCTGTAATGGTAGGAGGAAGACATTTTACAATGATGGGTATGTGCAAGGGGGAGAGAGAGGSGAGTGGGAGAGAGGAGCCAGGCCTTCAAGGGCACCCCTTGTTGGCTCCAGGCTTCGTGTGACGTGGAATTTGGGTGTGGGCACTGACTGGGGGTGAGTGAGAGGGTAGAGGGTTGTAGAGGTGTGTTACCTTCCTCTCTGCTCTCTCCCCCCGTCAGGCAGGGACTCTGCAGGAATCCAGAAAGGCAGAAGGGCTGCAGATGTCAGATGAAGGCCATGGGACAGGGCAGTCTCCCTGCTCAGATGCCCCAGCTTTCCTACACAGGACAGCCCTTCCCCCATGCTGCCCAAGGCACAGCTCCAGGGCTGCAAAGCTTGGGCTTCAGCACATGGACTYAGCTGTTAGCAAAATAAATTAATCCACAACAAGAATGAGCAGCTTCTCAGCYGGGGAACTCACCTAGACTGGGCAGTTTCTATGTTGGAAGAACACCAAGCAGTCAGGTAAGGCACAGACAACTRTGAGTGCAAGGAAAAGGTGGAGAATAGGGAGAGGAAAGCAGGCAATGGAAAATGAGACAAGAGCCAGGCCTGTTAGCACTGCAGCTTATGGAAGTTAGCAAGCAGCCAGCCAGAGAATGAAAGGGAGAAGCAAACAGCCCTTGGCCATGAGCTCATCAGAGACAGAAAACAGAAAGATGTCAAAGACAAGGCTCAGGCCATGCAGGGAGAGCGAGGAAAAAGGCAAGCACTGAGCCCAGGGAGGGTAATGCTTTCTGGGGATGAAGGCAGCTGAGAAGTGAGGGCTGTGGAAACCGTGCACCAAACCACCCATGAGAGCACACAAGGCAGTGCAATGTTCCTGCCCTGCTCCTGCCCTGACAGCAGAACAGTCCAAATGGCAGCAAAACCATCCCAGCGGGAAGSAAAGGGAAGCAGAAGAGCACTGAAGGTAGCTGGTGTTGCCTCTCCCAGGCCTGAAGTACCCTAAGCCTAAGCCTAACCCTAAGCCTGACCTAGGCTCTCCTACCACCCATGCTCCCATTGGCTGTAAAACTGATACACCACCACGTCTCATGATCAGTGCTCACTTTTTTAACCACTTCTACCCATTTTCTGCTCAGGCCTCCCAGAGCAGTGSGATGATTGCACCATTTTGCTTTTCCCTGTAGAGGTTTGACCCATAGGGGCTAAAGGATCAGCTTCACACACTTACACATGGATGGTTTCAGGGGAAATCAYCTGGCACAGAAGCAGCCACTGAGCATGGAAAGGAGCAAATCAGAGAARTCTGTGCCCCTTACACAGAGGCAGCTTGGGACCATGATCCGACAACAATAAGTGACTCATTAACAGTTCTCATGAAGARTATTAGACAATGAAAAGAGCATAAAACAACATTGCATAATTTCCTGGTGCCAGATGTTTTAGTTTCTTTTTGTGCTCAAGTTTATAAAARYATGTTGMAGGGCTCAGTCAAGGACCGTGTTTTCCTCTGGGGTCTGTTCCTGCCTTCCCAAAGGCAGACAGCCTGACACAGTGACATTAATGATGTTCATTTGTACAATTTGCTTTTTTCACTCACCTTTCACTTTTTTTCCCAATGCTTCCTCCTTCTCTTATTTAAAGTTGCATTTCTCTCAGACTATATACTCTTAATGCTGAAGTTTTCAAKTCAGAGTACTCTGGGGCAGTCCTACACACACAAGCAAATCCCCTCATTTTTGTGTGGAAAATGTATTTGCCACACTTGTTAAAATCGTGGTATTACAATCCTGTTAGGAAAATCTGTTCTGTTGTTGAACTATCTGAAAATATTTCCTCATGTTTGGGTAGAAATATTACTAATCGCTAAAATATTTAGCACTGCTTTGTGCCCATATACCCCAAGCTTTCTTAGAATAATACCACAATACCAGAGTACTGAAATGATTAGGATGCTTCCAAACTAAGATATGAAAATTAAAAGAGCAAACAGCAGGGTACAAATCAAATATCTGGAAGGAATGAAGGGCTATTTTCTAGGTAGAACATATTTTTTCACTGTTTAGAAGTGTTTCCAGTGAAACACTGCATCCCTGCAGCAGCCTGCGTTCCCCCTTGCTCCTGGGATTACTAATGTTCCTCAGCCCACAGCTGTTTCAAAACGGTCACATTTTTTGCATTGTTTCAATATCACCCTTCCCACCACATCCTCATCAAGAGAGTTCCCATCTTGCTTTGCTTAGGAACAAAGATAGGCACAGTTTTGTCCTAGACTGGCATCTCACAGACCAAGGGCACGCCCCTGGAMAGTGAACAAGAGTTCATTCTTTCTGGAGTTTATGTACCCAAAGAAAATCCCTAAAAGTACCATCAAATAGCATGGAAAAACTACTAATTTCTGATTAGTCTGAGGTTTCTGATTCACAAGCAATTTCTTGCTTACTGAGGAAAAGAAACCCAAACCCAACCTAACTGCATTCAAAGTCATAAAGGCAACAAGTTGATTTTTTTTTTAAACATTTCAAAATAAGTACTTCTTTGCAATCTTGGTCCAGAGAGCACAGTCCAGCATACGAGACCATGTGCCCATCCTTCCAGGACCCTGCACAGATCAGCCACGATGGTCAAAGCCACCAGACTCAGCCTTAAAGCCGATGGTGCAAATGCCACACTCACCAAAACCAGCTGTATTTGAGTGCACGGGGTCAGAGTGGGTTAAAACACACCTACAGAATATGTAATTCTTGTCTGCTTTTTCCCCCAGCATTCTGTGCAACAGCAAAGATCTAAGAAAGCAGAAATACTCTGCTTGGCTAGATATTCTAAACAATTGGACTTTAAAGCCAGACCTCTTGTGTGCTGGAACACRGGCCTGGGCCAGCACTGCTCCATGTGCACCTGAACCTTTGCTTCTCAAAGCCAACTCACACTGCAGTGAAGGGCTCAGCTGAGAGAGCTGTTCCAGCTTCCTTGCACCAAACAGCAGTTCAGGTGGGGAATATGTGCTGGAGGTGAAATGGATACTGAGACTCCCCTGACACAAACTGGCTGATAACACCAACAGAGTCAAGAAAGCTGGTTATCTCCCTGTACAGCAGATGTTGGTATCTGGTCAAATCACTCATACCCTCTGCTCCCACGGACTAAAATGAGAGTCTACACAATTGTGATGCCAATACATGAAGTTGTATCACGTCAAACCCAAGCCTGTATTCCCAGGTTTTGTCTCCTCRACTGGTCTGGCTTTAAAAGAAATCATACCAAGAGGGAGTTGTTAGCAGCAGCKAAAAAACAATTTAAAGACAGAGAACAGATGTCCCAAAAATTAGGTTGGGAAATACAAGTACTCAGCCCTTGTATTCAGAAAAAATCATGTCAAGACAAAAGACTTCACATCCCTGACATGGTTCAAAATGTTTATTCCTAATGCTCCCCTTTAAAATGCCAGCTCAACACAAACAAAGACACGAGTCATCTGTGAATCTGAAGTAGTTTAACTTGATACATCCACCTRGTTTTCTCCTTCCTGATTTTCCATTACTTCATTCTTCATATGTTTTCCTTCCCGTGTTTATTGCATGCAAGCCCTATCACTCATCCCAGCCTTGCATTTCTRTTTTCTTTCAAAACATTTAAACTTTCCCCAACCTGTTCATTTCCTGTAGCTAAACACCACCCAGGCAACTGCAATTAATATATTATGGTGAATGCAAAGATGTACAAAAGTAATATGCTCCCTTTGGCTGAGCTGGCCTCTTGAAAATAAATGAACAGCTGATAACAGTCAGTTAAAAAAAAAACCAACCAAAACTAACATAAAACCTCCAGCACAAACCAGGAAAAAAAACCCAAACTAAAATCAACCAGCCAAATCCTCAATCACCCACTGAACCTAATATGAAATTATGTTCCAATACATTAAAATTACCTATCTAGCAGCTCACYCCCAACGCACAAGTGTAAGCCAAGGGTAGACTAAAACTGAGCATTTATTTATTAATTTCTCCCTTCCTGCTATTTTGCTCATGTGAGCATAGGGAATTAAAAAAAACAAAAAAAACCCAACTTTGTAGACCACACCTTGAGTAGCATTGTGCAGGTGAGAGGCATCTGTGTCTCACAGAGTACCATGTGCATGCCCAGGCAAGGGCTGCAGTCAGCAGCAATAGCTGTACACAATCACAGATAAAGGAAAAACGTGCAAAGTCCTCTCTTTTTTCATAACATGCAAGAGAAAGAAGCACATGGAAAGATCCTTCCCTCAAAATGTTCTTCAATAAGAGAAAGACMCGTTCTGCAGCACTTGTTTGGAGAGATGGAAGCTGAGATGGAGGGGTTCAGACCTGTTTGAAAATCTTACTCTTGGAAATCTAGACAGCAGTAGCACAACTGCTGGGGAAACAGAGTGCCTTCATAACTACTGAAAAAAAAACAACCAGATATGCAAAAGGAAAAAAAATAGTCCAATCATGACCTCTTGCATTTGAACAGCAGACTTTCTAAGGTGCCACCTATCCATGAAGATTTTTCCCACTGCCTTGCCCATTCCTCAGGTCCATCACCTGGAAGGGCAGAKGAGTCTTTGTTTTTCCAGTTCTGCACCTCAGAGCTGGGACAGCCAGTGCAGGGTAACAGCAATTGTCATGGTGGTTTGGTGGCAGATTCATTTTCTTCCAGCTGTCACAAATGCCCAGGAACCATTGGCAGCTTCAAGCTGTGCATCTGTTCACGTTTGTCTGTTCAGACATTGGATGCAATCCCCCCTTCCCCTGGTGCTGGCATCTGTTTGCTTCTGCTGCTTGTCCTGAAAGGGCTTTGGTTTCGGATGCTGAAAAGTGAATCTCTGTGGATGAAAATGGCTTCTTGTGTTTCAGGAAGAAAGGAAGCAGAGGTGTGCAGCCTYTGCTATCAGTGCTGAACAGTTCCCTTGCAGATAACGAACGCTGCAGTAAAACTCGCAGTGTCCATAAACTGTGGGGAGAAGCTGCTTGTGCACCACTCCTCAGCATGGACAGCAGGACTGGGAGATTCTGCAGCTGACAGAAGCTCATTCTGATTCAAATGGGACAAATTACAGCTRATCAAAATGATCTGCTGGGGCAGAGAGGGATGATTATGTAAGTAAGGAATTTAAAAGCCCACTGGATCWCTGCAATGGCATATTTTAAGTACACATAGGACTCCTGTCATCTACCACAGCCATAATAATGAGGATTTATTTAGAAAAAAACATCAGAGAACAAAATACTTTTCTATTAAATAACCCCCAACCCTATCTCTGCAGTTTTCACATAAAGAAATTTAAAAATATATATAATGTTATATATAGATACAGCTGCAGACTCACAACGAGTTTACAACAGACTGTTCAGATTTTACCAAGTCTCAAAAWGGCTCTGCATGACCTTTGAAATAACAGGAGCACTGACAGGAGGGGAACACAATCCCAGGATTATGGGCTAGTTAGTAAGCTTTACAGAGAGAAAGATTATAATCAAGGCTTGAAAAAAAAGCAGCAATCATTTCACCACTAAAATGGACATGGAATCAGCTCCTGTCTCCCTGCATCACTCTTAGGCAGTTCCAAATGAGCACTTTTTACTCACTCCCACAGTTTTACATGTAAYAAAAATAGAGAGGAGGAATAGATGACCTTTGAAATTGATCTCAAGGAGGTGTCTTTTTTTTTTCTTTTTTCCTCTTCAAACCAAGCCAGTGCAACTCTACACAGCTTCAACTGGGCAGAAAGAGCGACAGAAAGATGAAGATGCTCATTACTTACAAGAGGTTCACACCTCTTCATTCACATTTTCCTCTATTATGTAAATAGCTGGCCAATCAAAGTACTGCCATTACCCCCTTTATTAAGTGTTTCTCTCCCTGATCCTGCAGTAAAATAGACAACACTCTATAGATGACAAAAGGAAAACCAGGGAAAACATGGTTGGTTAATGAGATGGGGACCTGCATTACACAGAACATGGAAAAGGCTGAATAGAAGCTTTGCCTCAGTGTACCCATATTTCAATTCTCTGAATTTCAACTTCTGTTAAAGGAAAGACAAGCACAAAGAAACACAAAACTTCTATCTGATCAGGCTAAAAGTTCAAGATTTTAGTAATCCCTACCCAGGGCTTAATTTTCCCCCTATAGAAATACTCGAGATTCTCAAATTTAGAATTTTTGTGTATCATGTTCAAGGATTACATAATCACATTCACAGACTCACACAAAACTGTCGGAGCTATAGAAAAGGTTAACATTGCTTTTTGCAAATTGTATCCCTGACTGCTGAGGAAGAAGAGTTTCTATAAATACAATGATAATCATTTGAACATTTTTGCACCCGAAATAAAAAACGGTGTCTTTATCCAAAGCAGCAAAAAGGGGATGATGCTCCATCCTTCAAGCCAGTATTTAGAACATGGAGTTGCTGTTTTCCCTGTCATTCCCACATGTGTGGAAAAGCCCTACAGTGTGTGTACAGCCTTTTTCAATTCCACTATTGCACAGGTGTTTCCCAAGAAGAGCTGTTAGAGCTGCTACCCCTCCCAGGCAGCAGTGTTTTCATTTCCAGTACTCCTRTGATGCACTGAGGAGTTACTGCACACTCGTCCAGGATGACCAAAAGTTACAGAACCAGGTAAGCAGATAAATCCACATTGATAGAAAAGCAACTTGGAGAAACAAAGAGACTAAATCATGTTGTCTTCTACACCAAATAAACAGCAAGATACTCACTCTGCCTCTGGACTATTGTCACTTCCAGTCTGCACCACGTGCCTGTGACATTGGGAGTTGCTGTTAACACAATCCAAGCTCCTTCTCAGGCACAGACTGATCMCTGCCAACAGCCACTGCAACAAGAGACTTCTGAATCACAGAAATTAGAAAGCTTCAAGTGTACAAAGTTCAAACTTACTGCCATTAACTGCTTTGATTTAAAAAACTTTGTGTCTTTCTCTGAACAAAGGACAAACAGTTTTCATCAGTCTCTTCCCCTCAGTGGTTATATCAGAATTCTCTAAGTTCTGAGTTGCAAAATGAATATCCAAAACTAAACAGTTGAGTAACCAGGTAAGTTCTTATTTTGAAAGCACAGAACAACACAAGTTCAACATTAATTGCTTCAGATGAACAATGGTGGAATGATCTTACCCTTTTCATTAAAACCTCCTTAGATCAGATGTTTCCATGGCTTTCAAGAACTGCCACATTGCCCACACAGAGCACATCCACACAGCATCAAACAGAACCAACAGTTACAACAGTGAACAAACTATTTTATTTTTCTTGCTAGATAAGAACATCCCATTGAAAATAAAGAATAAAAAATATAATCTGGTGTAACACTGAATGCTTCAATCTCACACTACAGCACACAGAGTTCTGGTATCAGAATCAACATCACAGTTATCTTTGTGCACATGGGTGCACAGRAAGGCTTCAACAAATATTTATACCCATTATAGTGCCATGTACAAAAATSTCATTCCATAAAGGCCAAACAGAAAATTTAAACATCTTTGTTTTTCTTAWGCCAAGGGCAATGCAAAAAATGAAAACTGTTTTCCGTCATTACTTCCACCTAAATTGTACAACATCTTTTTATACTGCAGAACCCAAATTCAGCATAATAAACCACAGATGAAGTAGCATACAACTTTATAAATGTATAAACAATATACTGAGCATGTGGGCATGATGCTTTCCTCAATATATGATTTTTGGTGTAACCATATTAAAGTTAAGTCAGTATTCTTCTAACACAAAGAGAAAATATTCTGTTTCTTCAATCAATGTTCTGACCTTCTCTCACTATCCAGAGCATGCCTATATTATTCATCTAAGCATACATGCACCACAAAAGATATGCAAAACAAATCGATACAGATAAACTTCAGTGTCAAATGTCTAATGATGTAATAACAAAAACAATTCTCAGAGCCCAAATGACTTGAATTGAAATTGCATTGCAGTCACTTAAATTAACAAAATACTTGGACTTGTGAGTCACTAAATTCACTGTTTTGCAGCAGTTGCTCTGCTGAAATCTGATAAGAATCAGACTGTGGGTAAAGAAAGGCATTTTCAAAAAAAAGGAATTTGTAAAAAATACATTTATACTATATGCTTTCATATAAAAAGGCATTAAGAAATATAATAAATCCTATAATTTTAGGACTACACCTTCCCTAACAAACAKTTTTTATCACTTGACTATTACATACAGTACATTCAATTTCCTAAACAGAAAGTATTTTTTTTGTCCCTGATGAATTTTACAACTGGCAGTGAAAACAAACTGTTTTATTATCACCACTCATTTTTGCAGCTTATAYAAACAGCACCAATTTTACCCAAAAAAGGTTTATCAGTTACATAGTAGCACTTCCTCACAGGAAATATAAACCCAAAACGTTGGAACCAAATGTGTCTTTCCAAAAATATATCAGAATATATGGCTCAGAGTTAAGGGAKGAATAACCAAGAGTATTGCATAGTACAGGGATCTTGCCTGTGAATAAAGACACCTTTTGATTGTTTGTCACCTTCTGACTCCAACAACAAATTAAACAGGTGCTAATGAAAGTAATACATAACTAAATTTACTGGTAAAAAAACAAGAAATGGTCCAGTTCTCTCTGGCACAGTGCAAAGTACACATTAAAAAAACGGAATGTATATGTACAGTGTGTATGCCTATTTTCATATTTAAATAGTGTGTATTTCCCTGACACATACACGTGTACATATAAAAAGCATGAACACACAAATCCATGCCAAACTTAGAGAAAAGATGGAATGTTTAAAATGTGGATGCATTGTTCCAGTGAAACCAGTCTGTCCCAGAAATGGCTGTTTATACAGCCAATACAACCTTCCATGAAACAGAAATATTTATTGCCTGCCTAAATTGACAATATATGGTACATCTGTCCTCAGAACTTCCCAAAGGACTGATAATCACACTTTATAAAAGCTTCTATTTGTATTAAGCCCTCTCTTCCATAAACCTTCCTCTCTTCTGAAAGACCAGAATATTCACTGCAGAGATGAGATCTTCTATTTTAAGTTTTTCTTGCAATATAAAAGTTTACAGCCACCCCTGTAAAAATTATTAACACCTGATGCTGGTTTAATTTATTCTTTCCCTTTGGGATTCAGCTGTTTTGGTTGTGGATMTGAACACGTTGGCTGAAGCTGTAACAAAGAATGCACTTTTCAGGATTCAGAAATTCAGGATTCAGACCTGTCCACACCCAGCATCACCAACTGTCCTTCCCTGCCAACTTTGTTTGCAAAAATACAAGAGTGTAATACAAACCCCTCCCTCCCTTTATCCTGAACATCTCTGTTATTTCCAGAGCACTTTCACAAASCAAGGTTTCCATCAGCAGGAGTCTGAAATGCAGCGATGTTTGTGAAATGAGAGCTCGGGGTGACCCCAACCCGGCTGCTGGTGCTGCTCACGGGCTAGAACTTGCCTTGTTTAAGTCGTTCAATGTGGTAGCACAACTTCAGGGCAGGYCCCAGCTTCAGTCCCATGTATTTCATTATCATATCACTCCTCAGTAAGAGAAGTGCCTTCCCATCGATYTCCTGCACAAGAAAGAGAAAAAACACAACAGACAACTACTTKAACAAGCTGCACGGTACAACTGGAAAGCACATTAGAGTTGTTTACAGTGCAGTAAAAATATATCCTGCTACATATAAAACAGTAACTTTGTATTTACAGATAACCACTAAAATGTAATTTGTTTCAGTATTTTTAAGTATGATTAAGTATTTGAGATGTTAAATCAAAAAAATTATGGTGAATAAAAGCAATTGACCTAACAGCCCTTAGAATTAGACAGCAACAAGGGGAAAAAAGTGAATGGTCAAAGGAAAAACGAAAAAGAAGCTGCAGAGGAAGGTCTGTGCAGTCAGAGATGAAATGATCCAAGCACTGAGGCCTTGCACTGAACCCTGAAAAGAGCTGTGGGAGGATTTTGGCATGTGCATGCAAATGGTCATGTGGAGGAAGGGGCTAGAGACCATCTAAATATGGGAAATCAGACAGATCTATTTCCATGCTGAACCAGAGAGATTGTCAGGATCAAGACARAGGAAAACTCAGTCAGCTTTCAACTGTCTGACTGAGAAGCTGCTGAAACATGAGAGTCCTAAGCTCCTGGCATCACTTCATACATGGACAGGCACTTAGCTCCATGAAGTACCATAAAGAGAAACACTCTGATTTYTTTAAACATAAACCTGACAAAACARGTGACATTTACTGTRTTATAGAACTAAGAATAMAATAGAAGACAGGGATCTCCATCAGAAGTTATTTTGATTTTTCCTTCCAATGCAGTTTAYACAAAATTTTAACTGTTAGAAGGAGCTGGTGCAGAATATGAATGAAATACTGCTAAAGAGAAAGCCAACCTCTTTTTGGAGGGCCATATATACAATGAAATAAGAAAGCAGTTCTCTACTGAGCAACCTACCATGGAAAATCACAGTGAGAGGGAGCAGGGGAGATCAAACCCAGCCCAAACTGACACAGTTTCTGTCTCTAAAGGCAGCATCTAGTCACACCTATGAAACCCTACGCGTTGTTTTCCCAAACAGAGTAATTCAGTATTCAATTGCTTCTCTGAATTTTAGTATCAATGACCAAGAGTYGAGCTAACAATGGAAAATATCATCTCAGCTTCAGGACACTGTGTCTCCAAAACAGGAGGACCAAATGCCCCCACTGTCCATGAGAATGCCTTTTCTCTAGAGGCACCAGGGATGTTGGACAATTGAACCTGGGCACTTCCAGGCTGGTGTTATTCTATGCACACTGGAAAGCAGTGACTATTTACTTTAGTCTAGCAGGACTGCACAACAGTGAAAATACACTGCAGGAGGATTTCAGCTTCTCTCTAATACATGAGGAGAGTCTACCTCCAGCTCTGATAGACTGATAGATATGAAAGTTTTATTTTAAGAGATGAACATGACACAGTCTATCAGAACAGAATGGATATACATCATACATGTCTCCTGAAGAGTTCTGCATGTGGAGCCAATGCCCGTGGATCAGCTTCTTTCACAAAACGTACAACTTCCTCTATTGACCAAGTGGATGGATCCTTATTTGATATTCTGGAAGGTTCCCTTTTCAGTGCATTCAAATCCGGTCCAGTTGTGGAACTTGCCGCTTTTAATATAAAAATATCACAAAAGGAAGAAGTATCACTGGTTTGTACAGGGATAAAACATTTCATTTCACATAAGACACTTAATATTAACTTATGGCATTTATTATGCATTGTTTGCTACATACTAAAATGAAAAGTTTTTTTTTCCATCTAACAATACTGAATTCTTTCATCTTTAAATATCTTCTRTAACTGCAAATACTTACAGCAGCAYAAACATTAGCACTGTGARATACCTRGAGGGATTAGTTTGATGKGAACGCCTGGGTCCCAAGATGCTATTAACTGGGAATGAGGCAAAGGCAAATTAAACTGTGCAGACAGAGAAAGAGACAGTGGGAAACCCTATCCCTGTATTTCAGCAACATGGTAATATTCGTTAAGATGCTCAGGAAATGAGCAGCATAAGCTATCCCTGTCTGGTCCAGCTTGGGCAGGGTCCAGCACAGCAACAAGAGGAAACTGAGGCAGGACAGACCCTCCCTGGCTTGCATGACACTGTCAGTTCTGCCAGGCTCAAGGTCTGTATTTGCAGTTATATTGGCAAGCCTGACATGTTGGCAACAGCACATTGCACTCCACACGCAAGCTTTCCAATGCAAAATAACTGATTGTGTTAAGAGAAGCAGTTGCAGTTGTGGAAGGCTCTGTACAATGGCATACCTTCAATCCTCCAGTGCAGCCGGCTCCTGCAGTGCCCGCTGCTCCCAGCGGAGCTCAGGGACAGCCTGGGCAGCACCGGGGCTGGGTTGGAGGTGGCAGTTGCCGGCTGATGGGAATTTCTGTAATATGCAGCATTTCCTGAAGTGCGGCACTCCGTGGAACTTCGACAGGTTGGGTTGGACGGATTTACAGAATTAAGTGCAGAATCCATAGAGTCCTCAGAAAATCGGTGCTCTTTGCAAGTGCTGTTTTCCTCTATAGGCAATGTTTCTGCTACACAAAAAGCAAATATCGATACGTTCAAAGTGATGGACATTAGAGCTTTGTTATTTAAGGCCTTGCTATGTTCTCTTGGAGGTTCTGACAGATTGTAATCCTGTTAACAAATCTTCTGTGAGGCAATCACTGAGACTGAATGTTYGTCCCTTTTCCTCACCTACTCATTGGGGTCTTAGTGTATTATAAAACATTATTTTTGTAGCCAAATATTTAATATGTCAAGTTTGAGACAGTTTTCCATWAATCATTTCAGTTGTACTTACTGAATATTATGAGCAGGGAAACTGCAGAGAATTTTTTTTATAAAATTATCTGCTTTAAATATTGATATAACAATAATCTTAGTCAAGAATTCTGATAATTTTTAAGCATACCATAAAAAAGCTAACCGTTAATATTATGCAACCTTTATTTTGCAAGACATTTTTAATATTAATAAAAAACTCATGTTAACTAACAATTGTTTAGAATGTTCTAAACAGCAGAGGGAGTCACTAACTTCATAAACAAAAGAAGTGGACAGTTATGAACTCCAGCAGGTTCAGAAAGAGGTGCCATTATTAAACAGGGAACAGGTGACAGGCAAAGCCACAGAAGGCTGTGAATGCCTGGCATGGCACACTAATGTTACCATGCTGTATCTACACAGTTCTTTGCACAGGGCAGGGTCTCAGCCTAGAAGTGCAGACTCTGGAAAGGTGAAGATACATGCAAATTGCTGAATCCAAGGAGAAAGTAAAAAAAAAAAATATATGAAGTCTCAGGGAGGAATTACAACAATATTCCAGTTCTTATGCCTTTTCAGCTAATTTAGACTCTACAAAAGATAAGCAACATCCAYTCAGAAGACCTGTGAACTTTAAAACCTGTCAATAGTGATTCTAAGCCAGGTGAGTGGAGTTCAGCATGTCCCTTTGCTTCATTTCTGAAAATTCCACTCCCTTTC